GCCTCACGTCGTTCCACGAATGCAATTCAGTTTTAATTAATCAAGGTTCATTCAAGACAGACTTGCATAGTCTCACTTAGTGCACACACCCACAATATGGGGGCAGCGTGTGGCTCAGTGGGCTAAGCCTGTGTACCTATAATCACAAGGTCGCCGGTTCAAACCAAGCCTCAGCACGTCTGTGGGTCCTTGAGCAAGGCCCTTAACCCCCAGCTCCCTGGGCGCCCCAACAGGTGGCTGCCCTTCATGGACAACTTACTCTTCAAAGAGCAAGCTGAGGGAGGTGTAAAAACAATTTCCCCACAGGGGTCAATAAAGTATCAGTTATTATTATTTAAGAAGCCCAAATAAATGGATGAATGATAAATCGACCAAATGAGTCAGAAACCCTGTAAAATGAGAGCAGTGTTTCTTTCCGCCGCAGAATAAACGCTGCTGATAGAGCTGTATGAAAAATACAAAGATTGCCGTTAAAAAAAAGGCAATACTGTGGCCATAAACACAGCCAGGGAGTTAGTTTGGCAATGAATTACAGACAGAATAAATATATAAGTTACGTAAATGTTACAAGGGCTTAGTATAGCAGCATGGTGGTACATTGGTTTATGATGTCACCTTGTAATGTGAAAGTCGCTGGTTTGATCCCCTTAGCCAACAAGGACCCTTCTGGGTTGATTTCTCACCTGTCATTATTACTGTATAATATTATTTGATTTTCGTAAAATACTTTAAATCACATTCGTGTGAAATGTTCTGCACAAATAACCGTATGTTGTCTTTGCTATTTTAGTAGTAAACTTCAAAGTAGACAGTGACTAAAATATTTATATATATATTCCTGTTCATATTATTTTAATGGATTTTTTCCCAATTACAGTCATTGCTTTTCATGTTTCACCTTTGTAATATGTGTACGCTTTTATTTTACAGTAAAAAAGCATTATAACGGACTTCCAGGAACCTGGCAAAACAGTCCGTTACATCCAGAGTTGCTGTATGCCCATAACATAACTACAGGACACCATTTACTCATGCCACACCTCAGCAGACACACTTGTGGTATAGATTATTATATTGTACATGTAGTAATCCAACTTTACCTGACTATTGCGTGACTATTAATAATCCCGATTACATATTTGCGCTGGATATCACCGGCACGCCACGTGCCTTGTAGGCGGAACTGCATGACCGTTATAGCCGAACAGAACTACAGCTAAAAGCGGCCCTGGGGACCAAATTGTTTGTCCATTATAAGCGAAATTCCGTTATATGTGAGTCCGCTATAACCAATGCTTTTTCTGCATGTTCTTAAAGGCGCACGGCCGGGACCAGCGGACCTCGTCCGTTATAGACGATATTCCGTTATAAGCGAGTCCACTTTAACGGGATTTTGCTGTAATTATTTTGGAATTAATTGGAATGCTAAGACGTGATTTTTATAGGCTTTATTATGTTGATTATGTAGCAATCTCAGCTCTGTTCTTCACATTATGGAAATATAACACAGAGGATTACTTCAGAAAAGATGGTTTTTATTCTCTGCTTTCTCGTCTTGCTTTTACTCACAGCACTGACTACAGGGTTCCATTTTTTATATACGTATATACAAGACTCATTCTCCCACTAACTCAAACAAGATCATGTCATTCAATTAGATAATGTAAAATATAATGTCAGATGAGGACATATAATTCAACAGATTACATGACATGAATATTAAGATCGCGGAATTTCGTCCGACGTAACGATCTTTCGGGAATCTGTTCCCACACGTCGGCCATTCTTTGAGACAACGCTAAACTAAGCGAGACAATTAGCCTGGTCCGGACCAGGCTTGTTCGCAGGCCTAAATTACCATGGTAATTCAGCGGGGATTAATTTAAGACACGTCGATGGAATGGAACTCTCACTTAAGTAAGACTGACTTGTCGAAATAAGTCAGACTTTCCCTTAAGCCTGCTTCATGGAATACCCCCCATGTTTATTCTTTTGTTAAACTGCTTTCTTTTTGTAAATAAAAAAAAGGATTTTTTTTCCCCCAATCCATCTGTGTTCCTCGTGCCTTCCATCTTGGTCCCTCACAGTGCCTGTACTTTACTTTCTCAAGCGACAAAAATATATAATTTAATATTACGATATTAAACTGTTAAACTGAAGACATGCAGCATTTTACTTGACTTGACAGGAATTGACTGAAGTATCATTTTACCAAATACCAAGTTGTCAGTAAATGAATACCAGAAAAATATCAAAGTCAGCTTGCCTACACTATTGCATGCACACTTGATAATGGATGTGGACGGTACAACCATTTATACACCCTGAAGAGAAAAACCTATTTGTCTTGTGCAATGTGTCCATAACATGTTTTTCTTAGCTTTTAGATAAGCCATTAATCAACACTATCAAGACAAATATTCTGTAATTGGACATCAAAACCAGATTCAGGCCAAAATTGCAGTGCATTGTGCAAAGGAAAACTGTCTGACATCAAATCACTAAAAATGCAGGAAAAAATATCTAAGTTTGAAAGGAACATAAGTAGACCTGGAAAAGAAGTGGACACAAATGGAATAAAACAGAATATGCGGAATAAACAGAAGAAGAAAGTGATAATCAGCCTATACCAAAAAGTGATACGATACCTGTTTTTTCAGTTTGTCTGGTTTTATTTTTTTTACATAATGAAATCTAGGTGAAGTACACAAGGAAATGCTTCTCAACATTTGGTGTGTTCACTTAATATCAAGTATCAAGCATCACCCCTAGGATTGGATCCAGGGATGGGTACCAGTAACCTTGTTCTGGACAGGGCCGTTCTTGCCAAAAGTATTGGGACACCCCTCCAAATCATACAGGTGTTCCAATCGCTTCCATAGCCACAGGTGTATAAAATCAAACACCCAGGCATGCAGACTGCTTCTACAAACATTTGTGGAAGAATGGGTCGCTCTCCGGAGCTCAGTGAATTCAAGTGTAGTACTGTGATAGGATGCCACCTGTGCATTTGTAAAATTTCCCTGCTACTAAATATTCCACAGTCAACTGGTAGTAGTATTATAACAAAGTGGAAGCAATTTGAACAACAACAACTCAGCCATGTAGTGGTAGGCCAAGTAAAATCAGAGAGCAAGGACAATGCATGCTGAGACACAGAATGTACAGGAGTCGCCAACTGTCTGCAGAGTCAATGACTACAGACCTCCAAACTTCATGTGGATTTCAGATTAGCTCAAGAACAGTGCGTAGAGAACTTCACGGAATGGATTTCCATGGCCAAGCAGCTGCATCCAAGCTTTACATCACCGTAATCTGTCTTCTTTTCAAAACGTCCATTGTCGGAAGTATTAAAGTTTTTAAAATTAGGTTAAATCAACAAAAAAGGAAACCATGTCACCTTTCTGTGTTTTACCTGCATCGGGGGCGTGTAGTGCCGCCCTCACCTGAAGATCACTATTCGCATTGTAAATAGCCGCATTAGCGCGTATTCAAATCGCATTCGCATGGTAATTTGATGAACAACGCAGCGGTGGAACATGATCCAGATACATCCCCATCTGTGCCATAAAATGGGGTGGGGGACGTGGCCAGGTGTAAATGGCTCATTCATACACATGAAAGCTGCTACATATTCAATGAAAGGAGCCAGAAATAGTGACATGAGTTACCTTTTTCTTATTTATCCAACTAAATGTTGCAACTACACCATTTAGTGATCTTCATGTAGCCAAGACTTTGGTGATCAGATATCTGGGATCAAAACAAACTTCCACCATTGCTTACTGTCTACTTTTATAATGTTTCAATTTGTGTTGTTACTATGTGCAGTTTGGTTCCCGTATAGACATAACTGGCGCAGTGTCTGCCTCCTTGGCTCAAAATCTTACTTTGTGGGTGTTTGCCAACATAAGGATGTATCTCGTCTCCACCCTGTTCGTGATTTTCATGGGCAGGATATCAAGGTGCAGCTGTGGCTGAAAGGATGTTTGGCATGGGGGACTAGAGGTGACATTCCTATTATGTGCATGCAAATTCCAGCATGACTGTATGAGAACCAGGACCTTTAAATCTGAGGCCACTGTGCTCTCTCAAATAAGAGTGAATTGCTCTGTTTCATCGAGAGAGGAGAGAGGAGAGTCTGTCCTAAGTGAAGGAGTTCAGGTACCTTAGAATTTAGTTTACTGTTGGTGGTAGAAAAATGTGATTAACAAAATGATCCATTTAGTGGCTGCGTTTTTGGGGGGACTGAGCAGGTTCATGGTAATGAAAAAAAAGCTAAATCAACAGACAAAGCTCACAGTTCAGAAACTCTATGTTCACCCATGCTCATGGCTATGGCCAAAAGAACAAAGCCATGAGTGTTTGCAGCCAGAAAGAGGTTTCCTGGTTCAGTTTCATGTTCTGTGACAGAGTGACAAGTTTAGCGATCTGAAGGGACCTCAAAACAGATCCACTGCATCCTTCGGAAGAGGAGTCAGCTGAGGTGGTTCAGGTGTCTCATAATGATGCCACCTGGTCAGCTCCCAAGGGAGCATGTCCCACTAGGCAAAGACACACTGGACAGATCTCCTGGCTGTAGTGAGAACATCTGATGGATGCCCAAGAAGGAATGAGATCCTGTGGCCAAGGAAAAGCCAGGACTGGTATGAACTGCCCAGCTGGCTGCCACTACCATCATGGTAGAAAGATAAGACAACATTGTGTTTGCCTTTGACAAAGGGGTCTTTTTTAAAATTTTATGTTCATATTTGAACTTATAAAATTGTTTTAATAATTTTAACTCTGTTGTTCAACACTTTATAGCAGGCTTTTGCCCCATAACCTGTTACACAGTGTTAATACTATTAATGTCAAAATAATTTCAAGTAAGCATACTGTCAAATTATGAGAGTGATTAAATGGAATTCAGTGGGAGTCTATTTCAAGAGAGCACAAACTTAGAACAGACAAAGTATGCTTCATATGATTCTGTTTGGGTACTGTGGTTTGGCACTTACCCATGGTGGAAAATAGACTTCAGGTTCAAAGTATTTTCCAAAGTGCTTGTTACGCTTGAAGTTTCCCAGATCTGCTTGTAGTGCAAAAGCCGCCAAAAGGAAGTAGGCTTCTTCCCTCTGGACACATTGGGACAAAAGTACCTGCTTCCTAAGGTGCCAATAGTAATAGTACCTAGCTGACCGGTCACTGCAACAGAAAAAAAACCTCATTGTTGATATATAAATAACATGCAAAATTTATTCCAGATTAATAAAATAACTGTTAACTGTGAGTATGTATTATACGGAGCCCCTAAGGGGACAAAGGAGGAGAAAAAAAAATGGCAGAAGACAAAAAAAAAAGTCATGTTTTGCGTTATAACCCAAAACTTTTGCGATATAACCCAAAACCTTTGCGTTATAACCCAAAACTTTTGTGATATAACCCAAAACCTTTGCGTTATAACCCAAGACTTTTGTGTTATAACCCAAAACTTTTGCGTTATAACCCAAAACCTTTGCGTTATAACCCAAAACTTTTGCGATATAACTCAAAACTTTTGCGACTTTGAACTGGAAATATGAATAATCAGTCAGTGTAAGGAACATAATTGATAGGAAAACATGGAGCGTTTCATTGAATTTTACTTTGGTCCTGGTCTGACAATATATGGACATTCAGTTTGTTCTCGGATTTAGGCATGATGTTCACATAAGTCTGAGGCAGATTAAGAGGATTTTATGTGAAAGGGGATTATTTCAACGGAAAAACTACTCCGACTGGGGTGATATAATTAACTTTATTCGCGAGCAGCTTTTGCACTCTGGGCAGCTTCACGGTTATCGATGGATGTATGCAAAATGCAGAATAAATGGACTTCATGTGAGAAAAGAGGATGCACGTTTGATTTATATTAATTATATTAATTTATTATAAACATGAAACAACAACAAAAAACTAACAATTCTTTAGGCTTAAATCAACCTCAACAGATTAGCATTAATTAGCAATGTTACTGAAACGTACTTTACCAAGGCTTGCTTTACAAATTACTAATTATGGATTAAACAATCAAATCTTACCACACTGAACTCAAAATTTTTTTTAACCGTTAAATTAGATTAATAAGCGAACCGGGGATCAACCACATCATGCAAACAGCGGCTTTGGAAGTTGCACTTGAATGACCAAAAGTACGCTAGTCACCTGATTTTATTGTTGCATTACTACAGAAAAGTTTTGGGTTATATCGCAAAAGTTTTGGGTTATAACGCAAAGGTTTTGGGTTATAACGCAAAACATGACTTCTTTTTTTTTTTCCTTCTGCCATTTTTTTTCTCTTCCTTTGTCCCCTTAGGGGCTCCGTAGTATTACATTGTATTATTAGAAATGTAATAAAAACCTGTTATTTTGACGTTGTGGGGACCAAAGATTTGTGAATTCAATCAAAAAACTAAAACTATCAAGTCTCATATTTTGTTTGGTTACTTGTGGTTAAGGTTAAGGTTAGGGTTGGGTAGGGCTTAAAGTCATCATGTTGGGATTAGAGTATTCCCCAGAGAAATGAGTCCCCACAAAGATATAATTACAAATCGGTGTGTATGTGTGTGTGTGTATATATATATATATAAAATTTCATTTACCTAATCAATCTTCCATTTTCAACATAATATTGAGCCCTGAAGTGTATGATCATTGGTGGTCCAAACTGGTCAATTCCCTGTGGAAAACAACATATTTTTATTACAACTGATGAAATATCCTAAGTATATAATCATTTGATCTTTTTTAATTCTCCTTACCTTACTGGCCTCCTTCTTCCATTCTTTTGGGCAGTACTTGGACAGCTTTTGGTTCAGTTCCATGTAAATGTGTTCATTATCTGAAAGGAGAAATAATAATAGTTTAACAAAATAAAATCTCACTCCACATGAAACAACAATTAAAAATAATTCATCAGGGGAGAATGCACCTTCTCTAGCTGAGACTCTGCTATTTTATGTTTCAGTGGCATAATCTGCAGAGACAATTCCACCACCCGAATCCCAGCGGTACTTCTAATGTCAGTCTTTTCTTGTTCACCAAATTTTTAAAATAAATTAAAAAGAAATTTGATTGATTTATTTTGTTTGATAATTCACATATTTAATACATTGTATATCTTCATTTTTAGTAGTCGAGACCAATTACTCATGAAACATGCAAGCATGCATATGCCCGTAACACTTTCACTGTGACATGAGCAAGATAACAACACCCAATCTGGCTCTAAAAGAAGCTTGTCTGGAATCACACATTAATCTGATTCCCTGATCAGCAGCAGAGAGACAGATAAGCAGAAGTGTTTATCTACAGACCGTGCTGCCTATTATCAATCTTATGAGTTCACATCAGTCAGACAAAAAGAACAAGAATATCATTAAAAATGAAGCACGAGTTACTTACAAGCACATAATGGTTTCTTGAGTACTTCTGCAAATAGGTTATTTTATATCCAATTTTCATTATAAACCAAACTACAAAAGAATGTGCCTGCCCAAATCAATAATAGAAATTTAATATGGTTTTCATAGGTAATACACCAATACAGAACTTACTGTGTGCTTCATTAATTTAAGTTTATTATGAGAGTTCTAACCAAAGTGAAGTAAAACTAAGAAAGCAGGGTCAGCCAGTCTCTGGGCCCAACAGTGAAATCACTCTGCCTACCCAGGAACTTGAACCGGCGACCTTTTGAAAACCTGTACAGTGTCCTACCCAGCTGAGTCACACACCACACCCACATTGCAGCATGTTTCAGCTATGAAACCTTCATCAACTCATGCCCGTCTTACCTGTCATTCCATTTAGTATACATATCAACATACTAACATTACAGAAGAATTGATGTGTCATGATATGATCAAATTTCAAGGGCCAAAGACTAAATTTGGCTTAAAGCTTCTAAACAGATATTTTAATAATATTAATTGATACTTTATTTAGCCCCATGGGGAAATTGTCTTTATGTCTCCCTCAACTTGTTCTTTGTAGAGTAAGTTGTTTGTGAAGGGCAGCCACCTGTAGCAGTGCCCAGGGAACTGGGGGTTAAGGGCCTTGCTGAAGGACCTACAGATGTGCTGAGGCTGGGTTTGAACTGACAGCCTTCTGATTACAGGCACACAGGCTAAGCCCACTCAGCCACACGCTGCCCCCATTTTCCAAAAATTTCCACAAATCAGACAATTACATCTGTAGTTTCCAAATGGAATCCTTTCTTCATTTTAGGCATTCCATTTCAACAATCATAAATCACCAGAAAAAAAAACATATATTGGACATCAAGATAAAAATTTGCGCCTTACTCTGAATGACACTGAGTCCAAAGAGATGACAGTCCTTCAGTCGGAGTAGGTCACAGACCTGGACAAGTAGCTCTTGACATAATGTTTTTACCTGTAATGTGACAGGCAAAGGAGCAAAAGTAATAATCAGTTAAGTAGCAGTCTTTTACCAATTTCTGTAAACTGCCACCTTTTTGTTGAGTTAATAAAAAACTTTGGGGACTCACACTAACAATGATGTTGAGGGTGTCATCATTTGAAAGAAAAACACAGACACAGCGGCGGTCCTGCATAGCTTTGTTATTGTGGAAGTTCAGTTTGTTCATCTTTTTCTGAACAGAACAATCTCTGTGAGGGGCACAAGGCCCTGGGAGCCTCCTGAGCTGCTCCAATGGAGAGCGGCGTCAGTCCGTCAGGAAGGGGACACACAAACCAGCGTAAGCAGGTGACATCCAGAACATCTGGGTTCTGCAGCTGAGGAGAGGAGGGCATATGTGAATTGTGGGTGGGGAATCAATTCAGTTACAAATTAAAGAGTGATAAAAATCGATTTTAAATAATCAATTCAAACGCATTGTAATAGTCGCTACTGCCACTACTAATAGATTTGCCCAGTTACACACATATTTTTTAAATTTAATTTATGAGAAACCAAAATGTTCCCAAACTACTGATTTAAGAGACTTGACAGGGTATTTGACTCACAGTCATAACTAGCATAATGGTTTCCGTGTTGAACATTTACTTATGAATTTAGGTCTCATCCATGTCAAGAAATGTATTAATTTGTTTCAAATATTAAAATATGATGGAACTGGGAGTTCTCTGCCAATTCCCACCTCTAATGCAGCCGTTAGATTACTTACTTGAAATTCAACAGAAGTAGTAATTCTGTAAATCCATAAAGCTCCCACATCACATCTGCCAGTGTTACTTCATGCAAACCTTTTCCCCATTGTAGATTGCACTTGGGAAAGTAAGAGTTAAACCCTTGCAATAGCTTTTTAACATGGATTTTAGAAGCAATACTGTGCAATGGTACAAAAAGTACATGTTTTATAGGCACCTTATGATTACAGGGTACTACTGAGAACTTGATGAAAAATGAAAGTATTCAGGGGATCTATTACTGTGCAGAATTTTTACGCATATGAGAAAATAGGCCAAGAGGAACCAGTTTTGCAACCTCTAAATTATATTTCAGGCTAAAGACTGCTTTATGCATTAAAATGTCCCTTGATGTTATTGAGTTTTGTTCACTCTACATTTGCTTACGAAAACTACCTATATACATATTGTATGTTAATTGAAATTAAATTGACTGATCACCAATTTAAGACTAAAAGTTACAGATAGGTCTGTAAAGGTTCTTGCATTATTGGTTGGCCTTTGAAAATGGCAAGAAACGTGTTTTTTCCTCCCAGCTGTATGACCTGGCTTAAGTATGTGGCTGAGCAGCCTCAGCGAGCACAAAGAATTACAATCCTTTAAAAAATGACTTACTTGTACTTTACTTGAAACACTTTGTTACCTTTTACTTTGTTTACATAACTAGTTTGGTCCATACACTTCTGCAATACTTGCATAAGTAGTATGTTAACTTCATAATTGCATAAGACAGTTTGCTGGGCTACTTCACAAATTATTTCTGGCCACTTTTAAATGTTTTAATATGGACATGAAACTTTTAACACTTATTAAAATAAATAATTTGAAATAAAACTTCAAGGAATACATATATTGTCCAGGTGACAGCTGTAAGACCATCAAATTACTCCAACAAGCCGTCTGCTCCAAGCTAACTACCGCAGCATAATCATAATCAGTGTAACATCAAAGAAGTTCATAAAACAGATTAGTTCAATAATGTCAGCTGTGCAACAAACAAAATTCATTTTAAATGCTTATTCTCCCAACTTATACAAGACAGCAGGCAGTCATTGGCATCATAAAAGTTTGTGAAAGGTCTATAAACACGGGGTTAAAGAAACAATTTAATTGGTAAAAAATGAGAGAGATGTATTTAATAACCCATATAGTCCTCCTGTATGTCATCTCAACACATAACTAAATGCTAGCTAAGCTACATGGATAGAGGCAGGGCCGCCGTAGTGGGGGGAAAAAGGGGACTGAGTTAACAGGGCCCCATGTGGGGGGAGGGCCCCTAAGGAATCTGGAATTTTATTTTCCTTTAAATATATTAATATTATTCAAATATCACAATAAATGTTGCTAACTAATGTAAATGTAATTTTTGTGGGAAAATAAATCGGTTGACGGACTGAATTGTGTCCTAGCTTGCAGTGCCTGAGGACAAGCACCCTCACCCCTTGCGATGGTTTAGTCTTTACCGGGCTTTTGAACTAGGCGCATTTAATTTAGCGGTCATTCTGCTGAATCAGCTGAAACTGTGCTGGAAGATTATGCCAAAGAAAGCTAAATCCGGTTTTCAAAACGCGTATCGTTCTCGTCTATTTCAGTTTATATCTCGCTGAAATGTTCGTGTATAATCATGGAAAAAACGCTGGCTAAATCTGTAATCTGTCTTCTTTCCAAAACGTCCATTGTCGGAGGTATTTAAAGTTTTTAAAATTGGGTTAAATCGGCAAAAAGTAAACCATGTCACCTTTCTTTGTTTTACCTGCATGGGGGGCGTGTAGTACCGCGGCCGCCTTCGCGTGAAGATCGCTAATTCGCTATTCACATTCTAAACAGCCGCACTTCCGCGTATTGAAATCGCATTCGCATGGTAATTTGATGAACAACGCAGCGGTGAAACCGTTTCACAGTTTCAAAAGTGTTCAATTTTCATGCAGGCCTATGATGTTAGGCTACCTTTGGTGACATTTCCTGTCATAGCTTTTAATCATTCTACAAATAAAACCAAATTCCAGTGAAGTCTTGTGTGATTAGGCTGTTTTTTTTTTTTGGGGGGGGGGGGGGGGGGGGCATGGGCACTGTTTGTGCATAGGGCCCAGAATTTGGTGCTACGCCCCTGGATAGGGTGCATCACTGTCTCTGTATAACACAAGGGCTTAGAAAAACAGCTAGCTTGTTCACCACCCCTCACCCCATTGTGATGCAACAGAGAACTGCCACAGTCATTTCCTCCTATTCAGTCAGAGCTGTAGCAGTTTATGCCATTACTCTGTCAATGTGGCAGTCCCTGAATTATATGCATGACTACACTTACTTTGGGTGCAGTTGTTTGTATAAGTATAAGGACTTCATAGAGTAATATCTGAGAAAAACTGAAAAAGAACAAAGGGAATCACAGAGAAAGAATAAGATAGAATGAAAAGACACTTTCTCTTTCACTGCAATAAAGATGCAGCAAATGAAGCATCTTCCAGTGGCAAAGGGAAAGAAACAGGGAAAAAAAGGGGAAAGGAGAGGGACAGAGAGAGTGGGAAAAATTAAAGCTTGGCCAGGAAAAAAGTACAGCAGTCAGGAGAATTCCAGACCAACATCTGCTTCTCATTGCAACAATGGAGGCTTTTGATTTGTAAGAAGGCCATATTGCCATCTAAATGTCTCCTGGACTTGCCAGGATGCATAGTGGAATTTCTGACCACTGACAAACACATGCTACCCCTAATTCTGATGCTGTAATCCTTGGAGTAATATAGTAAATGACTACAAGGTAATTTACTACTATATTACAATGAATAAAGCTTAACAAAACAAGATAAATGGTTTGAATCTGCAAAAAAGTATGTCTCGTACATCTCCAAAAACATTAGGTTTCAGACAAATATTTACGGCACAATGGTAACACGTAAAAGAATGTAAAAGCCAAATATATGTAATTAATTCCTTTTTAAAAAAAATAGAAAATATGCCTTTTTTGCCAAAAATGTTTCTAAAGCTAGCTTGTGCAATACTTCAAGAAGTACTGTTTCAAAATGAGTGCTCACACAGCTGGTACCCATGATTCACTACCGTCATCTAAATACACATTTTCAAATATTATTTCAGAATGTCATTAGTTTTATTTTGTAACTTTTTAACATTAGTTTTATGCAGAGTAGATAGTGCTCAGCTAAGGTTGCTTATTCTGTATTTTTACACATCATTTTACACATTACTATTTTTTGTAGAATAAGGGTGAGCAGTAAGATGCCACACACCTGATCAGACAGTACAGCATGAAAGTGTCATGTCCTTGTCTTGACTGTGAGCTGGCACGGAGCAGGGAAGTAGTACAGGAGCCGGGGAAATCAGGTGAACACTGGGTTTAATTTGGGAAAACACACTCGGAAACATAAAACAACGTCAATGATCGGACTGGGGAAACATACTCTGACGCGGACTGAAATACACAACAGCAATCAACATGACTCAAAACAGCTGGTAACATGGGGATTCCACACGGAGTAGATGAGGGGGCGTGGCACACAAGAGGACTGGCACAATCAGGGCATGACAGTCCTGCCCTGCCTGATCCCCATATTGCCTCCCTCTAACAACCATGCCTACTGCTGGTTTGTCTTACCTCTTGTTTCAGCCCTCATGTGATTCACTCCACCTGCCTCTTGATACGCTCCCTCATTACTCCTGTATTTAAGTGCCTCCCTGTCTTGTGAACCCCAGTCGTGTCGTCCTGCCTCCTATTCACTAGCAATTTTTTTTGATCTTCAGCAATCCCATTTGTTTCTAGTTCTGTTTGTTCCTTATTAATAAAACTTCCTTTGTTCCCCCAATGCCTGTTCCTGCATCTTAAGTTTCATCTACCCATGACAGAAAGGCATTAGCTGCAGTGTGGACTAAAAATGAGCACTGAAAATACAAATGTACTATAAATACAAATATAGTGCAGAAACCAGCAATCATGATAAAGGAAGCTAAATGCTAAACTGTACTTCTTAAGAAATGAAACAGTTTTAAAAATTTCTGCACATTCTTGCTGTGAGCAGCTCTCACACATCCAGGGCTGTATGCCTTTGCTTTGCTGTCTAGGCTGCCTCTGAAACCCAACTTGAATCTATGACACTCCAGATAAGTGGTAAGAAGATGGAACCATGAGCTTCTGCAAACTTGTGAAGTATCTGTGGCAAGTATCGTCTGTCTATTCCTCCTCCTGTCTATCCATCCATCTGTGCTCTGCTTATTTTGGTAAGGGTTGCGAGAAGGCCAGGCAGCACAGGACATAATGCTAGAGTATACCCTCAATGGGATTCCAGTTCATCATTGGACGGACACGCGCGCGCGCACACACACACACACACACATACATAGACACACCATATACCCTTGTACTAGATACCAAGTTTTGTTTCCTATGGCAGAGTGAAAATGTTTTAGCAAAACCTAATCCCCCACATTATAATGTTCAAACATAATGCAGGACCAAGGTTGAAAAAGCCTGATCTCAACCTGGCTGGCTATCACGGTCCTTGTGTTGTAAGAACCGCATGTGCATAAAATGCAAAGTCAATTTTAATACTGCACATCGCCTTGCCCTATAATACCCATGATTACAGTACAAAACACCCCACCTCCTGTTGTGATGATGTCATTCTGCATGGAAAATGTGCACAAGAAGTACTGAGGTTGCACGATTCTGAAAAAAATCATGTTTTTTTTTTGCATAGAACTGAGATCACGATTCTCTGTAACGATTGTTTTTTTCAAATTTAAATGTCTATTGCACTCATTAAAGTGCAAAATGAAACAGAACAAAACAACACTGTGCTAAACATACGATTGATCCAGGACCGGCATATCAACTTCTGACAAGAGAAAGCAAACGCAAAAATCGGCATTCAAAACAGCCATACTGTCATGCCCCGCTCCGTCCGATCCTACTGTGTGCCACGCCCCCTCGTTAACCTCATGTGGAATCCCAGTGTTTTACAGCTGTTTCGGATTGTTGTCATTAGTTCAGTGTATTTAGTCCGCGTTTCCGTTTGTATCCCGAGTCCGGTCATTGACGTTGTGACGTTGTTTTTTCGTGCTCTGTGTTGT